TGTATGAGTGTGAGTGTGTGTGTGTGTGTGTGTGTTTGTGTGTGTATATGGGTGTTTCCCAGTTCTGGGTTGCAGCTGGAAGGGCATGCACTGCGTAAAACATATGCCTGGAATAGTTGGCAGTTCATTCTACAGTGGCGACCTCTGAAATAGAGACTAAGCCGAAAATTAAAGAATGAATGTTAAACAAGATAGAAACTCATACAGGTTGGGGACATTTTGTGGGTAAGTAAATGTGTAAATGGTCAAATAGGAAGCAACACATTTTTGGCTGCTGACTATTAACACATTTTAGACTAAAGAAAAAAACAGCCAAAAGTAGGAGTTGAAAAAAAAATGCTGCACCACACTGCCCAGAAGTGTCTGCCCCCAGCTGTTGCCATTGCTCAATGTGAAGGAGCTTTCACACCAGATGCAGAAAGCATGTGCTACGAAACCTATTCCCTTCACTTCACTGCAATATGTAAAGGCGGGTTTGATGTTGCGTCAACCAAAGTGCAAGAGCAACAGAGCCTGTGAGTTCAAAATTTTTAATTATTATTATTATTATTATTAAAGGTGCTGTTTGTAAGTATTTGACTCTTCTAAAGCATAAAAATGCCATAATATGTTTGCAGATATTTAAGAAACATGCCAAGTGAACATTGTTTATCTGAAAAACAATGGTGAAGTCAGATATTCTGCCTTGAAAATGTGTTTTCCGTAACGGAACGCTGTCTTTGTTTTGGTTCTTTTAACCTGCTCATTGCCAGTTTAGACAATTATATTCCAGCACCACAGTTTGCCTAGGTGGAAAACAGCATATTTGATTCCTTCAGCCAGAAAGGCTCTAAAAGCATGGGTCCGTGACCAAAATGCGACCTCCGGTGCACAGTAGCAGAATCTGAAATGTAACATGTTCCATTTGAGGGTATTAATTAGCAAATAATATTAACATTGCGAGCGTGAACAATAGGTGAGCAGGTTACATTGTAACCCTGTGTCCTAACCACATGCTGTATGACGAGATTTGCAGTGATAAGCAATTTGCCTGTTTGCACCAGACAAAACATGGTAGAAATACAGCCATTCAGAAGCACAGAATATGCACTCACTCATGAAATGGTGAGGTTTAAGATCAAATTAATACATTTTAAACCTCTTATAAAAATAAAAATTATAAAAATTATAAAAATATTCTGGTTTCAGTTTTTAACCAAGTGGATCAAAAAATTTTACTTCAGCGAAATCCTACTTTTGGGTAAAGCTTCGTGAGCACAGTTTTAACATTGAACATTGAAATAAAGTAAAAGTAAAAAAAAATTAGCAAATCATACCACACATTTTACAAACACTACATTTTAATGGCACTGCATGTGTTTCTCAGTACACTACAATAGGTGATCTATTTGAGCATGACAACAGGCACATTAATAGGACGACGCCATAAAAGAGCTTATGGGCAAATCCACCGTTATGGATGTGACATTTGCAGTAAAATCTCACAACATAAATTTACATAGAAAGTATATGTTATATGTATATATTGACGTTATATTGAAACATCTGTTTATATTTTTCAAAACAAATAACCACAGAGTTGTGGGATCAAAAAAATATCACCCTGTAAACATTTTTATATTTATTATTTGTTATATTTGTGAGGAAAATAAACATGCTTTATGGATGTAACCAAAAAAGTTTGCAAGTTTACAGTATACAAAAAACTTTGTTGTAGAAATTCTGTGAATTAAACTGCACAAAATAAAAGATGCTAATCAAAAGGATAAGAGTTGGCTCTCTGTGAAACAAAAGTGATTGATTTTATTTTATTTGATATTTTTACATTTATAAGGAAGATCTCTGTTATGGATGTGACATCTCTCCATTATGGATGTGACTTATGTGAAATTGGCATTTGTGTGACTTTGGTAAATCAAATATAAAATTTTGAAAACATTGACAGAGACATTTTTGAGTATGTTTACAGTACAAGCCCACACAAAAGCTTATAAAGAGTTTAGTTTTTTTTTTTTTTTTTTTTTTTCATAAAAACTGCATGGAATGCTCTTATGCTAATTAACTGGTGAACTAAAAAAATATTAAAACTCAACTCAATTTTTGGCGTAATAAATAAATTATGTCATTAATTATGTCACACAGATATCCTTCACTCTCTCATGTGCCATCTTGCATTGCTGTTATAGCTAATAATGTAACATTGTTGCTGTGTTCATTCAATAAATACTAAGTACATTGATTCTAACATAATAGTTAGCATTTCAAAACAGTTTAATCATAAATCAATAACTCTTCCCACAATAATTATATCTTATAGTAAAATGAGTGTAATAAGAGGAATGGCTGGTCTCTGTCTGTCTACTTTCTACTGTGTACAGCAACTGTTTACTTTGTGGATGCTTAATGTTCAGTGTGCCAGTATTTATATATTTTATTCTGGAGCCAGTTATGCACGAAGTAGCCATAAACAGGAAACTGTACATCCACCCAGTTGTTATAACAAAATAAATCCCTTCAGGGTGATTCAAGACCCATCTGCTCCATGTCCTGTGCATTCCGTCGGTGTTTATTCTGCAATAACAGCGGTCTAGATGTACACTACCCCTGACTTAACTCTCACAGTTTCCAAAGACACGAGCCTGAAAAAGCAAGGATGTCTAGCGAAACTCTGTCAAACGCAACTCTACACTCCCCCGAACAGCTTTAGCAGAGTTTGGACAGAGTGGAGGCACCTGCAATGTTTACCATCCCAGTGAATGCTTCTTGGCCGTTTCATTTATAACCTTTTCTCCCATACCTGGATTGTTTAAGTCCTCAAGGCTGTTTGACTCTCACAGCGGGCTGGCAGCTCAAGGCTGAACACAAACAACCAAACCAATAACCCAGGCCTAACTGGGGCACAGGACCAGTGTAATCGAACCAGTGACTCACAAAAGCACCTCGCCAGACGCTTTTCACATGTCACTCAGGAGGTTAATGGAAAGGAACTCGAGTGAAAGCAGAACAAGAGAACAAGCTTACAGCCATCCTTACATTCACAAGAGGTTTGTTGGGTAAAACCACTCAATACCTCAGAAGTCCAAGGAATTATCTGTCCGTCCTTCGCTTGAAAGGTGATATAATAGATCAAAACTCATGTCATCTGGAAAAGATGAGTTGATACATCTCACTTCAACACAAGAAGCTCAGGGTGGCCTTCAATCGTCGTTTAACATGTAAAAAGCTACATCTGCAAGTGAATGGCTACATTTCAGACCAACGTACGGCTTTGTGTGAGCTGAGCTCATCATTAAAACACACATCAATGTAATTCCAGGCCTATTCACGCGCAACAACGGAGGGTAACCTTTTCAAAGAGCCAGACCATGAGAGCTAATGAAGTGCTAAATGTGGAGAGCAAACTTCATTTTCATATGTAAATATTCAAAGGTTGCGGGGCAAGGGCAGACATATTTTCTCTGGAACAACATCGAGGAGAGGAGGAGAAAGGGAAAAGCAGTCTGGGAGGCACTTGATTGTGCGCTGGGCTTTTTCTTCATGGCGTCGCTGTGTGATGGTGAAGCTTCCAACAATTAGAGCCAATTAAAAGGTATTGAGTGGAAACAAACCCTGTGGGGAGGGTTTGAGTGTAAATACCACAGATCCGTCTCATGCACGTTCCTCAGTGAAAAGCCAAGTGGTTCCTCTCATCTGTATTCCGCCCTCTCAAAGCGTGGAGTGAGAAACACGACGAAGGGTTTCTACAGAGCCCGGTGGCGTTGTATTCAGATCGCATTTGCCTAAAGTTACAAGATGTGCTTTGACGAGCTGCCATTGTGCGAGAAAGAGGTCCTCTCCGGCTCTGAAAAGCTTCCAGTTCTCTCAGGGCCAAGAAAGGCCATGCTTGGAAAAACCAAAGGAAAAAAAAGAAGATGTGAAAAGAGAACATAGGGGTCACCTGGTTTAAGGGTCAGATCGAAAGTGCTGAGGAGAATTGAGTGGGGAGTTTGGTGGTGGATCAGTAAAGCACATTAAGCTGAGGGAGGAAAATAGTAGACTTGATTTTAAATGTGCCATTTGTTGATGTAAATCCATATGATGAGCTCAGTATATAACATGAGTTTAAAGGGCTGGTAATTCTCTCATCATTCACTCGTGTTGGTCTAAACTGGACTTCTTTTATTCACATGTGCAAAATGCATCAGTTGTTTTATTCTATGCAGTTAAAGGTGCAATATGTAGGTTTCTAAAGCATAAAATACTATAATGTTTGAAAATATTTAAGAAACATGCCATGTTTATATTTGTTTATCTGAAAAACAATGCTGACGCCAGATATTCTGCTTTGAAAATGTGCATTACATGTTGGAACGTTGTCTTTGTTTTGATTCTTTTAATCCGTCCACTGCCAGTTTAGCCAATAATATTGTAGCCCCGCGGGTTGCCTTGTTGGAAAACAATGCATTTGATTAATTCAGTCAGGAAAGCTCTCAATGTGTCCGTGACTGAAATGCAATCTTCAGTGGACAGTAACAGCCTCTGAAATGAGAATTAGATTCAGAGTTCCACATGAGATGTTTATTAAATAGCAAATAATATAAATATTATGAATGTAAACATTAGGTGAGCAGGTTACATTGTAACCCCATGTCATAACAGAATGCTACGTGACGACATTTGCAGTGATATTCAATTTGGCTGTTTGCACCAGACGAAACACGACAGAAATTTAAATACAGCCATTCAGAAGCACTGAATATGCACTCACTCACTCACATAATGGTAAGGTTTAAGATCTAATTAATACAAATTAAACCTCATTAACATTATTAAATGTACATGCTGAATCACTGATATGTGTTGGTTTTGATCCCAAAGTTCTAATTTCAAATGGTTTACTTTATTTTCAAGATCTGAGGTAAACTATCTGCTGCTTCATCAGTATGGCAATACATATCATGCAAATTGGCATTCAAACAAATTATAGGCATTTAACACTGAATAAAGCACAACAGGTGTACCTGAGGTGATCACTGTCAAAGTTGTCTGTTGTTCAGCTGCAAGAAACAGAAATTCGATGTAATATGGAGGTAACAAAAACTACTTTTAATATTGAAAATATTCCTTCTATTGCGTGCCGTTGCGTTTATATTGAACACAAATTAAATCAGCCTTTAGGTTTGATAGTGACTCGCTCCTGTTGGTCCTCAATCTGGCAACCTGCGCTTGCGTGTGTTTTGATTCAGGAATGCAATACCTTGTTCAACCACTGAGTGTCAAACCTACATACTGCACCTTTAAATGAGTACTAGATAATATTGTTAAATAGAAAAGCCTATGCAATTGTAAAATTAAATAATAATGATAATACAAATAATAACAATATTGTTGTGAAAACAAATAAATAAAAATAGAATAAAAACACATTTATAACATAAAAAACTCCAATTAATTTGATTGAATAACCAAACTAATAAGATTTATATAACATATTTATATTAAAATTGAACACTGGTTTGTTTCAGAACCAATTTAGACAAAATACAGGCCTATAATCAATCAACAAATGTAACAAAAATATTATCTTAATAAAATTTTAGGTCTTTATGACAAACTATACAGATTCTCTTTACATGCCTTCCTTGCATGGGTGCATAAGAACCAAACCTTAATTGGGGTCAGTAGCAACTAAATGACAAAAAAATCCTTATGCAACTACAATTAACTATTACTAACACACTATTTTTAATACAAGTCCTCAATTTTTTACACTTTTATTACAAGTTTATAGGTCTTCAAAAGCTATATAATAGTTTGGTAACACTTCATTTTGGCCCATTTGAGTATTAGTAGACTGTCTGCTTAATTTCTGCTGATACTGTTCCTTCAACAGACATTTAACTGAATATAAGAACTTTGCAAGTACGTCAACTTACACTAACCCTAACCTCAAACTAACAGTCTACTTATAATCTAATGAGAATTACTTGGCATGTAGATGCAATGTAACTTAAATTTAACAAATGCACCATTAAAATAAAGTGTGACCAATAGCTTTGTGGGACAAAAAAGACTATTATCTGTGATTAAAGGTCAAAAACTAGATTAATATGGTTCATTAATGAATCATTCAAACTAAACTGACTCAAAAGAAGGATTCAACCACAAATTAAAAAAAAAGTTTTAAATGAAATAATTGAATGTTATGTAAATAATAAATTGTTCTCTTCTTCAGATCTCTTCTTCTTGAAATGACGACTACAATCCAAAAAATAATTCAAAAGCACAAAACAAAAAAGTAACAATAAAAGTGAAAGAAGTAAGAAAGAGAGGGCGTCCCCTTTGCCATGACCTCAAGAGCTGCAAAAACGCAGCTGCCAAAGGTAGCAGGACCTGCTGCGAAATCTGAACAAGTGACTTAGCATAATGTGTGGTCTGCTGTTGAACCTGACCCACCGCCTGTGCCTCGACATGAGATTCTACACACCAGTAAAAGTTACAGAAATACAAAACAGGATCCAAAACCTTCTTCGTGAGCACCTTTAGACCTTGATGGAAAGAAATGTGAGAATAGAGGAAGCAAAGTTCTTAGATGTTATAAAAAATAATGTTTTAAATAACTTCTCATGTCCATAAATGCAAATGAGATCCATAATTTTACCCTATTTTAACCTTCAAAACGTTTCTGTTGATTCTTTGATAGACAAAGTTCAAAATAAGAAAAGTTCCTTAAAATTGTTCTACCAGAAGTACTAACTGTCACTTTTTATCAATGTAATGCATCATTGCAATAAAAGTATATATATAAATAAATATATATTTAAAAACAAAAATCAACAACCCCAAACAGCTGAAAGAATGTCCTCTTAATCCTCAAATCAAAATGTTTATCTGTGGTTTTCAGTATACAGCAGATTTCTTAGTGTTTTCTTTTTTTTTTTTTTTTTTGCATCAAGCAAAGATGGCTGTTTAAGTTTATTAACTACAGTGGTCCCTCGCTGTAACAGGGTTCACCTTTTGTGGCCTTGTAGTTTCGCGGATCTTTTTAGTGCAATTTGATGCTTTTTTTTAACAGCACATTGTGTTCTGTGTCTTGATTGGCTGTAGACCATTGTCAATAAATTTCCTCCACGTTCTATGTACTGTACTGAATGCGTTCAGTTTGCCAAATTAACGATGCGTGCGTTGGGTGTGTGTTACTTCCAACTGTCATGTGTGTGGCGCATCCGGCGTGCAACCCCTCAAGAACAGCGTCTGCTTTAGTTTTGTGGAAGAGTGACTGCAGCTAAAAAGCTTTATGAACCCTTTGCCGACATGGATGAATGTTTGCGCCTGACAACGGATTTAGATCTTTGGTTTCATTCAACTGGACTTATTTTTCAACAAAAGTTTGAACCTTGAGAATGTTTAAGAGAGTTTAAATAAGAGTGTAAAAATGTTATTGCCTGTCTGAGAAAAGTGTATAAAATGTGTAGTGAGGGGTTTTACAGCCTTAAAACATATTTAATAATAGTAATTGTATAATAGTAAAATAATCATAATGATACAAAAATCAAGCTGACTACTATGCGGATTTCGCCTATTGCAGGTTATTTTTAGAATGTAACTCCCACGAATAATGAGGGTCCACTGTACAAAAATTGTGTTGCCGTCTTCTTAAAACTTGTAATATCCAGAAATCTAATTGATTTCTATTATCATAAATGAATGCATGACATTTTAATCTGTTAAAATCTTTAAATGCCAGATTTTAGGATTTGCATACGATGGAGGGTGTTTAACAGTTGAATAGTCTCTCTCTCTCTCTCTCTCTCTCTCTCTCTCTCTCTCTCTCATATATATATATATATATATATATATATATATATATATATATATATATATATATATATATATATATATTTGTTATATTGCAGCCATTTTCGAAAATCACTTAAGTACATTTTTCTCCTCATTATTGTACACACAGCACCCCATATTGACAGAAAAACACAGAATCGTTGACATTTCAAATAGTCACAATTCACATAGAGTACGTTCAACACCTGTTTATGCATAGAATCCAAATAAAGTACACCTAGAAAGGTTTTGCATTAATGTGTACAAATAATTTAGGCTCTACTGATGGGATTTAATTGTGATGGGACTGTGTTATATAACTCAATTTCAAACATACCCTCAACCTCCATGAGATCCTCTTGACTGATGCCCGGCCCAGTGTCAGCACTCTTTGTTGAGTCTATAGACACAGAGAAGAGAAACAGAGAAAATATTCTGAACGTGACTGCCATTACAAAGCGAATGAGGTTAAAAACTGCTTCCAAAATAGCAACACCATCAGCAGCCCTAGCTTTCAAAGTGAATATGTCACAGCTTTAGCCTGGTCCCGCCAAAGTGTCTGTGGCTTTCTTCCTCTTGCTGTTTTCCTTTTGTTTAATATGCATTAAAGCGCCCAAATTGGACGTGACTTCTAATGGATTTTGTATGGCTTTGAGAGGAAGCGGGGGACAAAATGAATAGGCATGAGCAAAACAAAACAAAACTGCCATTGTCGAATGTAAGCTGTGCTCCCTATGCCTCGGCGCTCTTCACTTTGGCCGTGGATCCTCCATATTCCTCACACACTCTCCGTCTGGAGGGCTGTGGGAGGGACGAACTCGCTGATCAAAAGCAGATCTTCAAAGCCGCGCTCCTTCCAGCTTATTTGAGCAGGACTCCTCTTCTCCTACATTCCCCCTGCTTTGATGCTAACAGGGTTGTGGGCCATAGGTGACTACATAATGGAGAGCAGACAATGCATTCTGGGTGCAGGAGCGGGGCACAAATGACAGGTGGATCAGCTGTGTTTGAAGTCTAGGGTCCATCAGCAGATGGGTGTAGATGCTGAGGAAAGTTTGTGATGGTCACATATGTGGGTGAACTCATACAATGGTGGCACGGTGGCTGCATGGGAAGCTATTATATGGCTCAGATTCCATTAAAAGTCTACTCTAAAAATGTGGACAATAAATTAATATAGCATGAACAATTTCCAAAATTGTATACACAAGAGTGTGGCTACATCATTTGGTTATATATTAAAAGCATCAATAAATTTAAATCTTTTATCAATTAAATTAGGCATACGTTATTTGTTAGTATTTTGCTATATACAGTAAATTTTGGCTAAATTAAGAAAACAATGACTTAGCCAATTTTAAATGATAACATTTTCAAAATGTTCCCTGTTTACACATCCATGAAAATGACCAAAAACACAGTATTACATATGACAGGGCAGTATTTGGCGCTGTCACCAATTTAGCAAATAGTAGCTTTAGGGAAGTGAATATGAGCCATTTGCGGCTTAGCACTGATGTGTACATTACGTGAATTTGTAGTGAGTGTACAAGATTAATCTCCACTGTTGGTTTTAATGTGAAGTAAATCCACAGTTGTCTAATGAAGCAATAGCAAACACTTGAGCAAAAACAACAACTACACTACCACATACTCTGCCATTGTTGTGTATGTTTGTTTGTGCTACATGCATTTAATCTAGACCTCCCTAAACATGTTCTATGCACGCACTTGATGTCATTGTTTTCAAAGACATTAGTTTTCAGGTATTTACACAAATATCGTCATCTTTTTAAAAATGTTCTGATGTTAAAATAGGTTCCAAATCCCAGTGATTTTGAGGCCCTTGGAACTTAAATTGTTCAGTTCACCTAACTTAATACTTAAGTAGATTATACTTAAATTGTTCAGTTCACCAAACTTAGTACTAAGTATGGGGAACTGAAAAATTTAAGTATAGTCTACAAAACTGGCAAATTTAAAAAAAAACTTAAGTATGCAAGTTTTGGGAGACTCCATTACTAAATTAAATTGAGGCAACGAGTTTACTCAATTAATTTAGTTCAGTCAACTTATTAGTTTTTTTTTTTTTGTTATCCATGGAACAATGGAACTACAGTGCACTAGAAGGCACTGGTCAGACACCTGGAATATATAATAGGTGAGTGGGTGAATGAAGAAGAGATTTAGTTGTGGTAGAGGAAACACATGGGCTGCGTCCGAAACCGCGTACTTCCATACTATATAGTATGCTAAAATCAGAATGCGAGCCGAGTAGTATGTCCGAATTCATAGAATTCGAAAATCAGTATGCAAAAAGTACCTGTATGACTTACTACTTCCGGCGAGATTCTGAAGTGCGCATCCCATGCACGCTGCGCTATCCTATGATGCCCCTCGAGAGAATTCATGAATGGGAGTGAAGCGACACAACTGATGCAGGTAGTTCGCGTGACCATAACAAAGTGTAGGATGTAGTAAGTCCAAATTCTATTCAAACTTTTCACGTTCATAGTGTATAGAACATACTTTTCTAACGGCCGAGTAGTATGTTTTAAATTCAAATGCAGTTCCCACTGAGTAGTAGGGGGCTTCCAATGCAGCCCTGGTTTCTTGGAGCTACTTCATACTGTTTGTATTGTGAAGTTCTACTTGGGAAACCTTGCGTTTTAAGCTCAGCCTGAGGACTTCCTTAAGTCCAGATAACTGAATGTTAGAAAAATGTATTAGATAGCTGTCTGAATAAGATTTGACATTTTGGATACCATCATTATGAAGTTTAATTCCTCATTTATCTGCAAGTCGCTAAACCAACGCAAATGTAGATCAACATATCTCAACGCACAAAATGTTTTTTTTTTACTCCGAATCAGTGACCAGTTCTTATTTTTTCTATGCATATGTATATATAAATATATATATATATATATATATATATTCATTAGTTGGAAAATATGTTGAATTAAAGAAAAATGTACCCTTTTCCTTAAGTTATGCATAAAAAAAAACAAATAAGAACTGATACAATATATACATAATAATATATATATGTGCATGCGTGTGTGTAATAATATACTATGAAAACATGTTTAAATAAATTTTAAACAAAAAATAAGTAGCCATTTTTTCACATTATGATGAATAAATATACCTGACGCCATTTGTTTTCTGATTAAAAAAAAAGACCTTTTACCTAAAAGGTTGACATATTAGAATTTTACAGTCAAGACTACATTTGTGAAAATGACCTATTTTTTTTCAAAGGATTAATTATGATTTTAAGCTCACTACACTTGAAATCTTAAGTTTATGCATTTTCATGGTACATAAGTTAAATTAACTCATACTTTTAAGGGATAGGACTAAAGTGCAAAATTTTAAGTAATGTTCAGTCAACTTTACTTAATTCTTTAAGTAAAGACAACATTAGGGTTTTCAGTGTACCTAAAAGCACAAAACGTGAAGTTCTTGTCTGTGTTATTTAATCTGTCCTGTTCCAAAGCAAAGTGTAAAGACTGTTTTGGGGCAGGATGTGGACACAGTGCAGAAATAGTTGCATTTATTCTGGAAATTTGTCTACTGCCGGGCTTTTTGAGGGACCGCTGCTTTATACAAGCCCAGGGCAATAGCTAATAGTGCTGTGATAAACCCTCGCCACAGGCTGACAGACTTCACCTCCACAGTTTCCTCTGATGCACAAACTGAACAGGGAGAGTCACATTTAAACAGCCAATTAAAAAGGCGCTGTCTCCACCTGTCTCTCCATCTAAAGCTGATATGGATGGAGGATCAAAGGAGCTTCCCTACAGCGCTCAATCCAGAAGAGAGTCACAGTAAAGTGACCAAGCTCAAGTACAGAGAGATTGCTCAAGTGGTCAGTACTTTCTTTTTCATGCAACAGGTTGTTAACAATCGGAGACAGAGGGTCATGCTTCAAAAAAATGCAGGATTGTTTTGAGACAAATTTGGGCAAAATGGTGTGGGTTAAAAATCTTTTTTTTAATAAAAACTTTTATATATATATATATATATATATATATATATATATATATATATATATATATATATATATATATATATAAAAAAATATTGAAAATTAAAATTACAAAAAAAAAATAAATATTACAGAATTTTCATAAAAAACCTCAAGAAGTTGTAAATTCATTAAGGAATAGTTCACCCAAAAGTTGCCAATATTTGCTCATTCTTGACTTGTTCCAAACCAGTTTATTATTTCTTCTTCTGTTAAATACAAAATGAGATATTTTGAAGATTGCTGAAAATCTATAACCACTGACTTCCATATATTAGTATTTGAACTTGTTTTGTGTTTGGTAGTATTACAGTTGTTTTTTATAAATGTTCTCTTTCATTAAGAAAGCTCATTATTAAAACCTGCCAAAACAACAGCAATTATATTTAGTTATTTATTTATTTATTACACTAAGCAAACCTGCTTCAATTTTATTATTTCAAATATAAATTGGTGCAGTGTATCCATTTTTACCATACACTCTCAGAAATAAAAGTATGCGAGCTTTCACAAGGGTGGTACCTTTCCATATTGGTACCTCAAAAGTATATAATAGTATCTAAACATTTTAAAAGGAACACTTTTGTACTTTTTAGGAACTAATATTGAGGTACTATTTGGGACCTTTTAGGTACCACCCCATTGACAGTTTGTGTACCTTTATTTCTAAGAGTGTATTTACATTAAGATTGTGTCGGAAAAATTCATTTTAATTATTACTAAACCCTGTATTTACATAAAACTAATCTTTATTAAAAACATCATATACTAAGAAGCATATGCCTTCTTAAAGATGGTACAAAAACAAATATTACAAGAAGGGTCATTCAGAAAGTGGTCAACTACTTTTAAACATATGTATTCAATAAGTGTAAATCCTGGCTCTAAAATCAAATGCTCTAAAGCAAAGGTGCCCAAACTAGGACCCACGGGCCAAAGTGGGCCCATGGTAACCTTAAATTTAGCCCACCATCCCATCTGTGAAGAGAAGAAGAGTGATGGGAAGGGTTGGAGCAAATGCCTTTAACAGAGATCGTATTTTCTAATTTATTGTAACCTTTTTGGTTTGTTTATTGCTGAGCTACAAAAAAAGCTAACTGAAATTAAATGTTTCAATTACATGTCTATAAATGAATTAGATTTTTCAAAATACAACAATATTCTCACTCAATGAATAGAGGACAATGCAGAAGACATCAGTAAGCAAATCAAACAGGAGCAGCTTGACAAGTGTAACCTCTATTCTGTTACAAATGAGATTGTCCTTAACTATATAAAATTAAAAGATATAAACTGCATTAGCTAATATAAAGCAATGTTTTCTAATTATTTTTAAATATTAAATAAATTAGGAAATTATCCATGGC